CTCCAGCTCTGTATTCTCTTTGTCACTGTAGAGAAATCCAACTGATTTTTGTATGTTGATCTTGTATCCTGCTACTTTGCTGAATTGGTCAACTATGCCCAGTAATTTTCTTGATGAGTCTTTAGGGTTTTCTAAGTATACTATCATATCATCTGCATATAGAGATAATTTACCTCCTTTTTGCCGATTTGGATACCTCTTATTTCCTTCTCTTCTCTTATTGCTAAGACTTCCAGCACTGAATAGGAAAGGTGATAGTGGGCATCCTTGCCTAATTCCTGTTCTCAAGGGGAATGCTTTTAATCTCTCTCTATTGAGAACAATGTTGGCTCTCGGGTTTGCGTATATACTTTTACTATGTTGAAGAAATTTCCCTCTAATCTTATTTTGTTTAGTGTTTTAATCAAGAAAGAGTGTTGGATTTTGTCAAAGGCCTTTTCTGTATCAATTCACAGGATCAATTTATAGGTTCTTGTTCTTTGCTTTGTTTATGTGATGAATTACATTGATTGTTTTTCTTATGTTGAACCATCCTTGCATATCTGTTATGAATCCCACTTGCTTATAGTGAATTATTTTTTTAAGTATCGTTGAATTCTATTGGCCAGGATTTTTGCATCTGTGTTCATGAGAGATACTGGCCTATAGTTTTCTATTTTAGTGGTGTCTTTACCTGGCTTTGGTACCATTCCTGTCTTAACTCTCATAGAATTAAGACTCTTCTTAGGGCTTCACACCAGGCACAGAGGCAAAGTGCTAGATGAACAGGTATGATAGAGATGCCTTTCGCTTTCCTGGTTGTGAGAGCAAGACTGTGCCTTCTGCCTAATAATAGCTGATTAATAATTGTTGCATGAGTAGCTGGTCAAGTGGTAATAATAAAATGTGAGAGTTAGAAATCATCCCAGGCTAGGGTGGATAGAGGATTTATGGAGAAGGTGAAACAGGTTCTGGGACTTGAAAGAAGATAGGATTTAAAAGAAGTTGGGCCCGAATGTCCATCAACAAATGACTAGATTGAGGAACTGTTGTACATTCGATGAATACTATGGAGCACTCAAGAGCAGTGATTTTGGAAAGTACTGTCTAACATGGGAGACGTTAGAGAGCGTTATCCTGAGTGAACTAAGTCAGGCTTATAAGAATAGATATTGCAAAAGACCATTATTGTAAGAACAGAAGAATAACCAGTATGATATGTATAGCTATCCTAAGAAGGAAGATGCAGGGGCAGGAGGGTGGAGAGGGGAGAAATCACAGTGTCACAGAATTTCATGGATGGAGGGAGAGGGCAAAGGAATTAGGAAAGATCCAGTGGTGATCTGAACAGATGAAATAATAATGGTGGGAATGGATCAATGGTGATTAATTTTATGGGACACAATGCATGGGAATGATTGTAAGAAACACAGAGTGTTGAAAATGAAGAAAAAAACTCAGCCAAGAAATAATAAAGAAGTTGAGACTGCTTTCTGGTAGGAAAAAAACTTCAAACAGATATGGTTGTGGCTTATTGTGGGAACAGTATAAGCAGTTGAAATGGTTTTAAGCTGAGGACTGAGCTTATGTGGCTTGATTGACATTTTGTTGGGAACTTCTTCACCCCTACCCTCTTACCACTTCTTGCCTTGCTCTTTTTTTCTTTTTTCTTTTTTTAAATTCATTCTTTGTTGCACATTTCCCTCCCTCCCTACTCCCCCAGGCCACTTTGCAGTGTACCTCTTTTTTGTCATATCACGCCTTGTTCTGTTGCAGAAAGAGGCTTGCAGCATGGCCTGGGAATTGCTCACCCAAGTCTATGGGATCCCTGAGGACAGGCTCTGGGTTTCCTACTTTGGTGGTGACCCCAAGGCAGGACTGGACCCAGATCTAGAAACCAGGGACATCTGGCTTAGCTTAGGGTAAGTTCAATGCCTCTTCATGTCTACTGAAGAGCTGGAGGACTGGGAAATTGAATCTACCACTGGCTATCCTCAGAGTCTCAGCATAGCAGGATGCTGGGGAGTCAGCCCTATTCCTCTTACTGCTGAACTTGAGGGAATCTCCCTGCTTCTGTCTCATCCTTCTCTCCAGGGTTCCTGCCAGCCGTGTGCTCTCCTTTGGGCCAGAAGAGAACTTCTGGGAGATGGGGGATACTGGCCCATGTGGACCCTGTACTGAGATCCACTACAATCTGACTGGTGGGGTGGGAGCCCCACAGCTCGTGGAGCTTTGGAATCTGGTCTTCATGCAACACAACAGGTAACAGGGTGCTGAGACAGGAGGGAAATCCCTGCCTGGGAAGTGATAAAGGCGGCAGTCTGGAGGTTGATCCATTGCTTAGAAACACAACTACTCCAGTAAAGTCTACTGCGTGCCAGGCACATTTCTAATCACTTTAATCAATCATAGGCTTTGTCCAGGACAGTTTAACCAGTCACTGCTGTTCGCAGACCTCTCATCTTGCATCAGTGAGGACGTGATAGAGTTGAACAAAATGAGCTAGTCACAGTTTTCTCCAAACTTGACATAATTTTCCCCTAAGAGCAAAGAGGTTTGTCCCAGAGGATCCACGAAAGGGGCCAGAGGAGCAGAATTAAGGGTGGGAATAACTAGCTATGAGAAAGGACAGGATCCAAGGCCATTGTGTGTGCCCTTGACGGCAAAGGGACGATGCTGCCCATCTTCCTCCTCCCACTGTTAGTCTGTGCCGCGGGTCCCTCCTCACTCCCTTACTCCACTTGGACATCTGCCTCCCACCTGCCCCGCGCGGCACCTTACCATCCACTCCTCCCCTGGCCAGAGAGCGAGATGGAAGCCTGCAACCCCTGCCGCAGCAGCATGTGGACACGGGGATGGGCCTGGAAAGACTGGTGACCGTGCTGCAAGGCAGGCGCTCCACCTATGACACCGACCTCTTTACCCCGCTGCTCGATGCCATACACCAGGTGAGCTTGCGTCTTCCTCACAGAAGCAACTTGTTCCCTCTCTCCTGCCCAGAAAGCTGGTGAGTGGGAGAAGGTGGTAGAAACCGCCTAGAGTCCGATGAACAAGAGAGTAAACATACTGTACTGCTGAGTCGACTGTGATTCTTAGTGACCCTCCAGTGGGATTCTGAGGCCAAAACGCATCAGGAAAAGAGACTTCCCGTCTCTCTCCCATGGAGCAGCTTGTGGATTTAGACCACTGACACTGTACTTAGCAATGCAACCTGTAATATGTTCCACCATCACAGCTTCTTGGTGTCAAACAGGCCTGATTCAGAGTCCAGCTCTGCTCCCGACGAGTTGTGTGGCCTCAGTGACCACTTCACTTCTCTGAATCTCAGCTTCTTTAAAGAAAGATAGGAATGCCTCCCAGAGTGGGCTGCTTGGAAGACCAGATAGTGTGCCATCCCAGTATCTACCCAGTTCTGATAGCAGCAGCTCAGCAAACGTCCCATCCACCTTGAAGGTGTCTCCAGCCTGCAGCCCTCCCTGCAAGGCCGTTCTGGCTGTGGTTGGCTTTGGGAATAGGGCAGGAGCTCCAGATACAATGACGAGCATTCACCTGGGCAGGCCAGGCAGAACCAGCAGCTGTGTGCTTTCTCCTCCTTCCAGGGCTGCGGGGCACCCCCTTACCTGGGCCGGGTAGGGCCAGCAGATGAGGGGCGCATAGACACGGCATACCGTGTGGTGGCCGACCACATCCGGACACTGAGTGTCTGCATCTCCGATGGCGTCTCTCCTGGGATGTCAGGTGCCCCGTGAGTCTGTAGGGCTACAGAGATGGGCAGGAGCTGCTGGTGTGCGGCGAAGAGGAGGGAGGGAGGTGGGGCGTGGGCTCAGGTTGAAATGGCAGGAGGACTGGGGGAGGGGAGAAGGCTTGAGGGCACAGTTCCTTTTGGACCCTGTCTCCATGACCCCACGTTGTGTTGCCTGGCTCTGCTGGGCATCATAGCTGGGCTCTGAACCCCTCCAGGCTGATTCTTCGTCGGATCCTGCGCCGAGCTGTGCGTTTCTCCACAGAAGTCTTACGGGCACCACCCGGTTTCCTAGGAAGTCTAGTGCCTGTGGTGGTGGAGACACTGGTAAGAGCAGAACTTCCTCCCATTGGCCTCCCTGGGCACTCAAGGAGCTTCCCACTCAGCTCAGGCTGTGCCCCCCCCACCTAGCACCAGAGCTCCCCTCAATAACTGCAGCTCCTCCTCTAGGTGCTCAGGGCTCGGGAAAGGCTCTATAGAGAGTCTTCATAGATCTCTCTTTTTGCCATGGAGCTGGAACTGACTCAGAGCTGATCCTCCAGCAGGTTTTCAGAGGCTGTAGACCTAGTGGGAAATTGCGGGTGGAGTTGAACCACCTGTCTTTGGGTTGGTACCTCAGCTCCTTCCCCACTAGGCACCACAGATACACAGCCCTGTATGTCATCAGCAGTCTGAGAAAATTGGAGGTACTCTGAGCGACCAAGCTGCTGAGCCTCCGCCCTTGGAGGCAGGAGTCCTTGTGAGCCCCTCTGCAGTCCCTTAGCCCATCTCAGCCTCTAGGGCAGGCATCCTTAGGGAGAGCCTGGGTGAGGGTGAACATGAGCTGGTTCCCTATCCTACCTCAGTCCTCTCCTCCTTCCCTAGGGAAATGCTTATCCAGAACTGCAGAAGAACTCAGCCAAGGTAATGCCTCTAATGGTCAAGGGAGGGGGCAGATAAGAGAGCTGGAAGACAGCCCTCCTCCCAGGAGAACCCCTCCATTTCTGTACTGCCCTCGGTTCAGATAACCAGCCTGGTGTCGGAGGATGAGACAGCCTTCCTGGCCTCCCTGCAGCGGGGCCGACGGATCATCGATAGAACTCTGAAGCGCCTCGGGCCTTCCGACATGTTCCCTGGTAAATGAGGTGCCTGGCCGAGGCATGAGGGGCTCACCTGGGCACAGCAGCATGGGCAGAGGCTGCTACCTGGGCCTCATGCTCCGGCCCACCCCCACCTGCACCCCAGGGTCTCTGCTCCCTGTACTCTTCATTCATGCCTACTCCTGGTGGGAACACTGCCCTGCTGGCCCTGCCTGCATGGAGCTCCTGCCCACTCACTTGTGCCCAGGGTACGCTGAGCTCACCCAACTCCAGGCTTGAGCTTCAAAACGGTCCCCCTTCTCTTCTGGGCCTCTCGGATGTGGAGAGGGGACACTTGTGCTTGGAGCCTGGTGACTTGTCTGGTTAAAAAAGCCAGGCCTTGGTCTGACTTCATTTGTCTCTCTTCTTCCCCACTGCCCCTGGCCCATGCCTGCCTTCCTCACAGCTGAAGTGGCCTGGTCTCTGTCACTGTCTGGGGACCTGGGGCTTCCCCTGGACCTGGTGGAGCTAATGCTGGAGGAGAAAGGCGTGCGGCTGGACTCCGCTGGGCTCGAGCGGCTCGCCCAGGAGGAAGCCCAGGTATGCAGGCTTTCCCTGAGCCCGCTTTCTTTGGGCTCCTGTCAGCCTTTGCCCGATCCTGAGAACCTAGGGGAGGAGCTGTGGTTATTGAGGGGAAATAAGAGGCAGAAATAAAGTCTGAACCCTCACCCAGAAGGATGGTGGGCCATACTGCCCCGACCTCATAGCCTCCTAAAAGAAAGGAGGAGTAATAACCAGCAATGGTGGAACAGAAGCAGAAGGGATGAGACCAACACAGTGTCCTAGGGGGCCTCCGGGGCAGCAGTGATGCGGGAGGCCCCTTCCTGATGGAGCCTGCAAGCTTCATGGTCCACCAGGCAGTCCAGGGGGCTCTTAGCTCACAGGAGCCCCACAGCTGTGCAACACAGGGGCAGGGTGGCTCTGTGTGGGTTCAGGCCCCATAGCACCCTTTGTCCATCCTCCCTACCCCCCTCACACATGCACTTGGTCATCCTGCAGCACCGCACACAGCTGGCTGAGCCAACTCGCGAGCAGGGATTACGGCTCGACATCCACGCACTCGGGGACCTGAAGCACCGAGGGGTGCCCCCGACCGACGACAGCCCCAAGTACAATTATTTCCTGCAACCCAGTGGAGCTTATGGTGAGAACTGGGACAAGGCGAGTGGCCTTGCTTGGGAAGGACAGCAGGGTGGTAGGTGCTCTGAGCACCTGTGCAGTCCCTAGAGTAACCTCGAGGGGGTGCCGTGCCCCCCCCAACACCCTTGTGCAAATGGCCTCATGTATGTGGCATAGACCCTTACCCCAGATCCCCATCCGCTGCCCAGCACTAGTGACCATTCTGTGCCCCGGCAGAGTTTGGAGCCTGTGTGGCCCAGGTCCTGCAGCTGTACACAGAGGATGGGACAGCTGTGACCTCTGTCGGGGGAGGCCAGCGCTGCGGCCTCCTCCTGGATAGGACCAACTTTTACGCTGAACAGGGAGGTCAGGCTTCGGACCGTGGCTTCCTGGTTCGGACAGAACAGCAGGTGAGATGCACACATTCTGACTTCTGTGGGAGGCAGGCATGAGCCTGGATGAGAGCCATGTCCAGGACAGGAGGAAGCTATGGGTAGTCACTCCACTGCCTTGGCCCTGTCCTTCCCCAGGATGTACTGTTCCCTGTGACCCGGGCCCACATCTGCGGGGGCTTCATTCTGCATGAGGCCATGGCCCCCGAGTGCCTGCAGGTGGGCGACCAGGTGGAGCTACATGTGGATAAGGTAAGTATGCTCTCCGCTCCAGCTGTGCTTGATATCAGACAGCTACTCTCCCCTCCCGCCCTTCACCCAGGACTCTGGGTGACGAGTGTGTTAACAGGCCTGGCGCCTGGGCTGCATGGAGAAGCACACGGCCACCCACCTGCTGAACTGGGCGTTGCGTGAGACCCTGGGCCCTGGCACAGAGCAGCGGGGCTCCCACCACAATCCTGAGAGACTGCGCTTTGACGTTGCCACCCAGGTGAGCAGGGCATGCAGGCCTGTAAGGTGCTAGGGTAAAGAGAAGCAGTCTGCCATTGTAAGCTGGGCACTGCTGCTCAGTCATGGGGGACCCTAAACAAGCCCCTCTCCCTTGGGTCTCCTGCACCAGCAACAGGTCAGGCTGGAATGGGTTAAGGCCTCCCTCAACTCTGCTAATATAAACATCAGATGCCCTCCAGCAGGGTCCTCCCTTCACTCCCAGCCTCTTAGCTTCCTTGTTCCTGCTGTCCCAAGGCCATTCTTATTCAGACAAAGCTTTCCCTCTCTTCCCTCCACCCTGTCTCTCCCTTTGGTGCAGTGAGTGTCTGCCTAGAATCCTTCCTGTAGGAACCACTTGCTGACTCGTCCCTTCCCTCCTGATTGCTCCTTGGGCTGTATCCCCATCCCATGTTCCTCTTCTCTTGGCTGCCTCTCTCATACACTCCCTGAACACAGAACCTCATTTTATTTCTTCATCTTTTGGTACTGAGTGATGGCTCCAGCTTTTGATGGCTCAGCTCCCGGGTAGAATTCTAAGGAAAATGTTCTACAAATATCTATCAAGAATTCATAATGTGTCTTGGAGAGGGTGCAGCTGGGGTGTTCTTTGGAGGCAAGAATGAGAAGGTTTCACCTCACATACTTAGAGCATGTTGCTAGGAGGGGCTATTCCTTGGAGAAGGACATGATGCTGGGAAGGGTGGAGGGTCAGCAAAAGAGAGGAAGACCCTCAACCAGGTGGATTGACAGGGTGACTGCTGCAGTGGGCTCTTGTGTATCAGAAGAAGCATGAGGATGGTGCAGGATAGAACAGGGTTCAGATCTTTTATTCACAGGGTCACTGTGCATCATACACAACTCAACAGCACCTAACAAAAAAACAGTTTTACGTGCCTGCTCTAGAACCTAGTGAGAGATCAGCAAGCACTGACTGCTTTTTAAGCATCAGCTTCAGGTACAGGGCTGACTGCCTCTGGTCTGTCCCTCTTCCCCTTCCAGGCCCCGCTGACACCACAGCAGCTCCAGGCAGTGGAGGGCGCTGTGCAGAAGGCCGTGGAGCAGGATGAGCCTGTGTACATGGGCGAGGTGGCCCTGGCACTCACTGCCCACGTCCCTGGCCTGCGCTCCCTGGATGAGGTGAGCTGGGGAGACACATAGGTGGGGACCACCTGCCTCCCGCAGGCCATTTACCAGCCCCGCTCTCCATCCCCCCCAGGTGTACCCAGACCCTGTGCGGGTGGTGGCAGTCGGGGTGCCCGTGGCCCAGGCACTGGACCCGGCCTCGGAGGCCGCACTGCAGACCTCCGTGGAGCTGTGCTGTGGGACGTGAGTCAGTCCTCCTGCTCCTTGGCCTGAGGCCCTCAGCCCTTACCCTTCCTTGGTCTCTGGAGCCACCAGCACCCCTTGGTTTGAGACTCAAAATGTGCTTCTCTCTTCTGTCTGTCTGCAGTCATCTGCTACGGACAGGGGCCGTGGGAGATCTGGTCATCGTCGGGGACCGCCAGCTAACCAAGGGTACCACTCGCCTACTGGCTGTCACCGGGGAGCAGGCCCAGCAGGTCAATATGTCAGGGGCCCACGAGGCTGTTGGGTGTGGCTGGGGGACAAGAGACATTCACAGCAGACATCCTCCAAGCCTGCAGGTGCCTAGCAGCAGAATCAGGGTTGGTAAATCAGGTAAAATCAGGGTTGCGAAAACAGTAGCTGGCAGCTATCATGATTAATTGGCGACAGTGTTTTCATTGGTCCTGACTGTTCACTCTTTCTGATTTGGCCCCTCTTGAGAGCGCCTGTCATGTGAGCCGGGCAGCACTGATCACCTTTTTCCTGTTCCGCAGGCCCGAGAGATAGGCCAGAGACTGGCCCAGGAGGTGAAAGCAGCTGCAGAGAGGCTGAGTCAGGGCAGCCGGGATGTGGCAGAGGCACAAGGCCTATCCAAGGCCATGGGACGACTGACTGACGTGAGTACCAACCCCCAGGAGCCATGCCTACCTCACCTGGCCCTGCTTCCCTTCCACACGCCTCCTTGACCCTTTGATTCCAGTGGGGTTGTACTGGTCTGGCCCAGATGCTTGTCTGCGCATGGGGTGGGGTGGATGTGGCCTCTTCCTCTAAAGCTGCGACCCAGGGACAAACACAGGTGATGTCCTCCTCCTGGCCACAGGCTGTGGACACCGCAGTGATGCCCCAGTGGCAGCGACGAGAGCTCCAGGCAACACTGAAAACGCTACAGCGGCGTGCCAACACTGCCATCCGCAAACTGGAGGCAGGGCAGGTAAGGGGAGGCTCAGCTGGATTCCCGATGGTAAGAGGCCCACACGCCTATGCCTGCAGGAGCCTCGAGAGCCGGGGCAGTGAGACCCTCAGGGCTGGGCTGGGAGGTGGACAGTAGCAGGCTTTCTCCATCTCCTACCAGCCCACAGCAGGTTGTTCCCTACTTTACTCTGCCAAACTGTATCTCTCCCCCATCTTCCAAATTGGGCTCTCAGACTACCACTCCAGGAAGCCTCTGCTGATGTGATTAGCACCATTCAAGTCTAATGGCTCCTTGACTGTGGCTCCCCCTTCCTCCCACCCCTCCAAGGCCATCTGTGCTCCAGCTTCCTCCTTTCACCTCCAGTGGCCTATTTGCAGGGGCCTGGAGCTATGCAAGGGAGAGGAGGAAGGACCCAGCTGGGACCCAAAAAAAGGAGGCCATTGCAGGCAGAGCCCCGGCAACCTGCACTCAGCTGATGACCTTGGCTGGGGGCAGAGGCTGGGGGGAGGCCTGGCCTGGCTGGGGCCCAGTTCTGAGTTGGAATTGATGGCAAACTTATCTCCCAACCTCCGCCCTCTGCTTTTCCTCCTCACCTACAGGCAGCAAAGAAAACCCAGGAGCTTCTGGAACGCCACAAGAAGGGGCCTCTAATTGTGGACACTGTCCCCGTAGAGTCCCTCTCGGTGGGTGCTGAGCAGGGCAGGCAAAGAGAGCTGCCCCAGGGGAGAAAGTCATCTCTGGCTCTGGGGTTGGGAGCGGGGAGTCTGGTAAGCCACGGGTTTCCGATCTAGCCTCCCTGTGCAGGTGCTGGTCAAGGTCGTGCGGCAGCTGTGTGAGCAAGTCCCCAGCATGTCCGTGCTGCTGCTCAGCCCCCAGCCCCTGGGGAATGTGCTGTGTGTCTGTCAGGTGGCCCAGGTAAGGACAGAGGAAGAGCAGCCCCACCCAGCCCCTGGTCTAGCTCTCTGACTTCACCCCCTCATTTCCCCTTAATAAGGGCGCTGTGGCTGGGTGGGAGGGTTCTATCAGAACATCCCCGGACAGGGACAGGCCAGCCTCTCAATCCAGAACCTCACCCCAGGATACAAGCAACATGTTGTTGTTGTTGTTGTTCAGTACCACTGAGGCAGAACTGACTTATAGCTGACCCTCCAGCAAATTTTCAGACACTATACATCATACAGGAGGAGAACTGCCCATCTTTCTCCCAAAGAGCACCCAGTGGATTTGATCTGTGTGCCTTTAGGTTGGCAGCACAGCTCTTTAACCATGAAGCCACCAGAGTTCAAACAGCATTGGTGATGGTGGTGGTGGTGGTGGTGTTGTATACCACTGAGGTAGAACAGGCCTCCAGCAGATTTTCAGAGGCAGTTAATAACACAGGAGGAGAGGCCCATCTTTCTGCTCATGGAGCAACTGGTGGATTTGAATCACGAAGAATTTCATGAAACAACATATGAGCAAGAGCCTATGATGATGAAGGAAGATGTTCAAGCTGCTTTGAAGGAAATAGCAAAAAATAAGGCCCCAGGAATAGATGGTATACCAGATGACATATTTCGGGTAACAGATGCTGCCCTGCACATGCTCACCAAGTTGTGCCAAGAAATCTGAGAACAACCACTTGGCCAACTGACTGGAAGAGATCTATATTTGTTCCCATCCCAAAGAAGTGTGGAAACTATAGAACAATATCATTAATTTCACATGCAGGCGAGAGTCTACTGAAGATTATCCAAAAATGACTAGAACAACACATCAGCAGAGGACTGCCAGAAGTCCAGGCTGGGTTTAGAAGGGGTCGTGGTACTACAGATATTGTAGCTAATGTTAGAGGGATCTTAGCTAAAAGCAGGGAATACCAGAGGAATGTCTGCTTCATTGACTATGCAAAGGTGTTTGACTGTGTGGATCACAACAAACTGTGGCTGACTCTGAGAAGAATGGAAATCCCAGAACACTTGATCGTTCTAATGCGAAACCTATAGTTGGACCAAGAGGCAGTCGTCAGAACGGAGCAAGGAAACACTGCATGGTTCAAAATTGAGAAGGGCATATGCCAGAGATGTGTCCTACCTTCATACCTTTTCAACCTGTATGCAGAACAGATTGTCCAGGAGGCTGGGCTCTATGAGGAGAAATGTGGGCTCAAGATTGATGGAAGATTCATCAGCAATCTGCATTATGCAGATGACACAACCCTGTTTGCTGAAACTGAGGAGGACCTGAAGCGCTTGCTGCAGAGAGTCAAGGACTGCAGCTTCCAGTATGAATTGAGGCTTAATGTCAAGAAGACAAAGATTCTCACCACTGGGCCAATTGGCAGCATCAAGATGGATGGTGAAGAGATTGAGACTGTTTACAGCTTTAGTTTGCTTGGCTCCACAGTCAACACTCTTGACACCAGTAGCCAGGAAATTAAAAGACATATTGCCATGGGAAAGTCTCCTGATGGGACCTCTCCAAAATACTGAAGAGCAACGGTGTCTCTCTGGAGACTAAGGTGCCTCTGATACAGGCCATGGTCTTTGCTATCACTTGTTAAGCATCAGAGAGTTGGACAATGACTAGGGAGGATAGAAGGAGAATTGATGCCTTTGAGCTGTGGTGCTGGAGAAGAATATTGAGGGTACCATGGACTGCTAGGAAAACAAACAGATTCATCCTGGAAAAGATCAAACTGGGCAGCTCCTTGGAGGCAAGGATTCTAAGGCTCTGTCTAACATGCTTTGGACTTGTTGTAAGGAGGGACTGGTCCTTGGAGAGGGATATCATGCTTGGTAGGGTGGAGGGACAGCGCAGGAGGGGAAGGTCCTCTATGAGGGGGATTGATTCAGAAACTGGGGTAATTGAGATGGGTGTATTTGAGATGGTGCGATTGGCACAGAACAAATCAGAGTTTAGGGTTGTTGTACATAGGGTCACTATGAGTCACAAGTGACTCGACAGCACATAACAACCACCACCACCTTTGAAATTGCAGTGCAGCTTCTTACCACTAGGCCACCAGACCCTCTAATTCCCAGTTTCCTATCCAAGCCTTGCATACCTTATAGACATTCACCAACCTCCATACACTCCTGGGCCATACCTTCTCCTGCATCCTAACTCCATCGTGTGCCTGGCTGGGGAAGGGCTGCCAGTCTTCTGCCATTCCATCCTTGAGGATGTTCTTGGAGCGTGTGGCAGGGAAAGGAAGGGCTGTTCTGTATTTATACCCTTTCTTTTTCTGTCCCCAGGGTGCCACACCTACTTTCACAGCAAAGGCTTGGGCACAGGCTGTCTGCAGCCACATGGGGGGCAAGGCCTGGGGCTCCGGAGCCTTGGCCCAGGGCACTGGAAGCACTGCTGACCTGGACACTGCCCTCAGCACAGCTCGAGCCTATGCCCTCAGCCAGCTCTGTCCCAGGCCTGTGACCCAGGGCAGTATGAACAAGCAGACAGTGGATACTCAAGTGCAAGGAGCCCTGAGAAGCTAGCAGAACCTCCCCAGAGGTGAAGCAGAGAGTGGAGGCTGAGCAACTGAGCCAGGCCATGCAGGGACACAGGGAGATAGGAACTGGATGAGACAGATGTGAACCCAAAGACACACCCTGTCTGGTGACTGTGAATGTTCATTAAAAAGTATTTTATATGGAATAGGAAGCCAGAAGTTTTATTTTTTTTTATTTTATTTTTTTTGTGTGCGTGTACCGTCAAATCAGATCTAACTGGTACAGGAGGAGATTGTCCCTCCTTACCCGGCAGAGCATCTGGTGGATTCGAACCGTTCGCCTCTGGGATTGTAGTTGCAGCTCCTTGCCTCTAGGCCACCAGAGCTCCCCTAGAAGTTTATTTTATTTTAAAAGCTTTCTTCTGACCATCAACTTTATATGTATGTGTGCTTCATCACCAGTCTGTCCCCTCACACCGGGCTGAAAGGCCAACCAGAATCCAATTAAGTTCACCCTCATGAGCATAAGTGCCCAGAAAGGTTCCACAGGCAGCCCGCAGCAGGGCACCCAGCAAGGTCCCTCATTACCAGCAGCCCGCCCAGATCCAGAACTTCAGTGTAAACATTATCATGACAGAGCAGACCTTCTCTGCACTATCCATTTTTGTTTACAATGACTTGATTTTTTTGTTGTTTGCTTTTGTTGCTGTTTTAAGTAAGGTGCTGCTAATTTCTTGATAAATTGAGCAATAGAAATTTCTGAGAATTGGCAGAGTCAAACAAAAAATCCCTACCCTTGAAAACCTATTCATATGTAGTAAAGGAAACAGACAATAACCAAGAAAAAGGAAGTTTCCTGTGCTGATAAGATCTGTGACAAAAAATAAAGCAGAAAGGGTTATCAGGAGCGTGAGCTCAGGGTGGCATCTGAGCAGAGAACTTGGGAGGTGAGTGTTTGAGCCATTCGGGGCTCCTGAGGGAAGCGTGTTCCCACAGGGAACAGCCAGTGCAGAGGCCCTGGGGTGGGAGTGAAGAGACCAATGCAGCTGTGCATGGGAGACGGGAGAATGGCAGGTGATGGAGTCAGGGAGCTGCAGAGGCCCCACCAACCCTACCAACCCTACGCAGCACCTGAAACAAGTCACACAGGACCTGCTCCCAGCCTGAGCTGAAGCTGAAATCAGTCTAAAATTGGCAACTCAGAGCAGAAAGCCGAGGGATAGAGGGAATCCTGCCTTCAATGCCAGGCCTGAGGCAGACATTGAGCTCTACCTCTGCTCCCAAGTCTCTGTTGCTAGAGGAAGGAGAGGACCTCGGGGGACCCATCTTCAAGTCAGAGACACCCCAGTTACCAAGTTCTGGAACCATGAAGTTAAAAAGAAGGAGAGAACAGGGCAGACTGCCTGGTATCACTTAACTGCTTGCACAATTCCTCATTCTAATGAAGGCACACTGGTCAGTGAATCACTGATGAGGGCTTTAGAGCAATGCCTGGTGCCCCAGGCCATTGCTCACTGCCCGCTACTGCTTTAGGATGTTGGTAACTGGAGCATTAACCATATTAGGTGGTACTCACTATGGGCCCAGCTCTTTATAAACTCTGTGGATACTAAGGGCTTGTAATATCTCCATGTATTTGATGAGAAAATCAAACTGCTGAAATGCCAACTCATCCAAGGTGGTTGGGTGGTGTCGTTTCCAATTCAGCGACCCCATGTGACAAGAGTCCAACTGCCCCTCAGGGTTTTCTTGACTATCATCCTTATGGAAGGAGATCTGTAGGCCTTTCTCCCTAAGAGTCACTGGATGGGTTCAAACCACCAACCTTTTGATTAGCTGTCAGGCAGTTACCTGCTTGTGCCTACAAACAGCTCTTTTTATCCACACTAACCAAGTGAAAGCTAAGCTTTGCCTCTGTGTGTGATTCCTCCCACTACCCTGTCTGCCTCTCCACTCTTGAAGGGGTGTCTCTCTGGAGACTAAGGTGCGCCTGATACAGGCCATGGTCTTTGCAATCCCTTGCTATGCATCAGAGAGTTGGACAATGACTAGGGAGGACAGAAGGAGAATTGATGCCTTTGAGCTGTGGTGCTGGAGAAGAGTATTGAGTGTACCATGGACTGCCAAGAAAACAAACAGATTCATCCTGGAGAGGATTAAACCAAGCAACTCCTTGGAGGCAAGGATTCTGGGGCTTCGTCTGACATACTTTGGACGTGTTGCAAGGAACAGACAGATCCTTGGAGAGGGACATCATGTTTGGGAGGGTGGAGGGACGGCGCAAGAGGGGAAGACCCTCTATGAGGTGGATTGATTCAGTGACTGGGGTAATCGGGATGGGTGTGTCAGAGGCAATGTGATTGGCACAGGATAGAGCAGGGTTTAGCGCTGTTGTATGTAGGGTCGCTATGAGTCGCAAACGACTCAATAGCATATAACAATTTTTATCAAGGTCGCTGAAGTTGGTCACCCCCACTGTCAGGTTGTTCAGAACCGCCACACCTGACATCTCTTGTCAGAGCTGGAGGGAGTTAAGGGGAATTGACTTGGAGCTACAAGACAGAGCGCTGTGATGGCCTGGAACTTTTCTGGAGCTTCAGGGGCCTGATGCCAATCTTGTTTACATCCTAGAGGAAGGTGGAAGGGACCACTGCAGGGATAGGGATACTGCAGCCCACAGCTCTCCTTCCGGGTTGTCCTTCGAGATTCCCAGACCCCAGGGGACCCCCAGTCGCTCCTGCAGATGCTCCACTGCCCTATCCCGCCACTTTGATGTCCTCTGAAAAAGCAGCGGAAGGAAGAAGCCCTACAGTCCCCAGACCCCCGTTTCACCAGGACGCCACATCCCAGAGAACACAAAACCCATCCCAAGACCAGAGTCCTCACTACCCCACCCCACCCCACTCCCCAAAAAAAGGTGCTTTGGGGCAGGGCCTGGGCCACCTCGCAGCTGAGCCACCAGCCAAGGTGCGTTGGGGTAACTAACCCTAGGGAGAGGCAGGCTCTCTGCAGTTACGCCCACCGCCGCTACCAGCAGCTGGAAGCAGCGCGCGCGGGCAGACGCACCAATAAACAGCCAGCCATGGACACAGGCCTGGACAGCGGAAGGGCTGCCCCGTCCCGCCCCCTAGAGACACAAGGCGTCCCTAACGACGGTGGCCGTCCCTAACGACGGTGGCCGCCAGAAGGCCTGAGTGACTGACGGTGAGTGATGGCAAGTGAGGGCGAACTCCTGGCTCCGAGGGAACAGGTGAGGTGGCCTCCGGGACAAGGGACATCCATCCCCTTGTGCCTCTCCTTGTCCCACCACACTCCTGCCACGTGGGCCGGGACGCCCCTCCCGCACCCCCAGAGAGAAGATTCTAGCCTTCAGCCCACACAGGTCCGAAACTCGCAGGCAGTCATCGCCTGACTCCCACATTTCCTGTGGGGCGTAGGGAAGAGTTGGTCTGGACCTCTAGGAGGCCCCCACCCATTTGGGGGGATCTCTCTAACTAGTTTATAGAGTCCAGAGTCCAGGGGCCATGTGGAAGTATGAGGGAATAGTGGGAGGAGAAAAAGATGGGGCTTTGGGTTGGTGGTGGAGGAAAGGGATCCTAAACTAGAGGGAGTGGGGAAGCCCAGTGCTTTGTGGATCGCCAGCCCCTGCAGGCTTCAATCCCTCCTGCAGTCCAGAAGGTTCTGCACCCCCTTCTGCCTGCCTGCCCACCCACCTCTCTGGTTTCCCTTGGTTACCAGGGCACCAACAAAGCCTGCTGGCAGCAGGTGGGCTGGATGCAGAGACCCAGTTGACCTTTGGAGTTTCCCTGCTGGGGTCTGAGTTGAAGGGAGGGATAATGGGGGGAAGGGAACAAGGCCTCTGAACCCCTTTAGAGACAACAGACCTGAGTGAGCAAGAGTTAGGAAGAGGCCACTGGTTCACTGGGCTAAGACCATGCTTGTTGGGCCTGGCGCTGTCAGAGAAAAGTTTTTGTTTTTTTTCCTGTTCTACATTTTTTTTTCTATAATTATATTTTATTAATTTTCATAAACATTTACAGAGATTTTGGGTTTCCATTCATTCATTGTTGCACTATTCTCTCTACCCTCCTCCTAGTTTGTTCTTGTCCAAATGCCACAGTGCTTGTCAAAGCCAGTTCTGATTAATCTTCTTTGTCAGTGTGTCCTTTGCCATTCCCTATCACTCCTCCCTGAGAGAGACTTCACTCTGAGTCATAAGGAAAAGGGGATGGCGTATTCTCTTAGCTACTTCCTGCTGAAAAGGGACGCTGTGGGTTTCAGGGAAAAGTTTTTGCCTGTCTTGCCATCTATAAAATGGAAAATTTCAGCTGGGAATTGAGGAGTGACTTGCCCTATCTGGTGGCATATGAAAGAGATCACCTTCAGGGGATGCAGGCAGAAGCCTAAGACCCTGAGACCAACCCCTTGGAGAGAGAGCACTCCACAGAGGGTTCTAGAAGGGGGGGAGCTGGCAAAGGAGGTGCAGACAGTAGTCAGCCAGCTGGGTGACGAAGCAGAAGGCACTGGTAGGCAGATGGGAAAGGCAAGGAGGGGGGACGTTCTAGATGCTGCAGAGCACCCCTGGAGATTGACCCAGGGGAGCACTCACCCTCAAAGGACGCTTCCCCAGAAGAGTATTGAGGTTGGAAGCTACATTCCAGGGGACTGAGACCACAGCCAGAGGTGGAAAAGGAAAATCATCAAGTGAGGTTCAGCTTCCAAGAAAAAAGTGAGGCTGTGAAACCAGAAGAGAGGTCAGGCTCTGCCCCCTGGAAGGGAACACTCCCCACCCACCCATCTATCCCCACCCCCGCTGGAAAGCAGGGAGAGTGGGAGGAGTCCTTTCATGGCACAGTTAAACCTCATCCACTATAGCTGAAAGGCTGTCAATTCAAATGCACCCAGGGATGCCTCATAAGACAAGCCTGGCCATCTGTTTATGAAAGAAAGGTCACAGCCCTGAATCCCTGTGAAGGACACAGTTCTCTTTTACACTCAGGGGTACAGGAAATGAGAAATTGTCTTGTAGTCGTTAATAACAAACTT